ACGTGGTTCAAACTTTGTTGACCAAAAGCAACCTAGTTCCTGGCCTCTACAGCCGTATTACACCGGCAGTTGGATACTCTAGAAGTAGCATAATACCAATTAATGATTCAGTTATATATATATATGTTGCTGTTGTTACCGTGTTTGCTCCGTCGTCAAAAATGACAAATGTGAAAAAATGTCACATCAGACAATATACTATCGACCCGTTTATACATCGAGTCCTTTATAATCGACCCGTAGTATACAAAAAAATATTAATTTTATAAGAAACCATTCCCTAATTTGTTTACTACGGGTCGTATATAGACGACTTGATGTATAATCGACCCGTCTATAAACGACACGCCAAAGCAAACGAGACCACTGGAAGTATAGCAAAAGTAAAGTAAAGTAAATCAAATGATCTAATTCCAGCCATCTCGCTGTTGAGGTGGCCACGCATATTCGTCCTTCCAATACTTGCATGCCCGTGCCTGGGTTAGCAAAGGAACGTCAGGCAATGTGTGAAGGGGGCAGAGGAATGGAATCAACAATGATTCCCCAAGTCCGGCATATGTTGGGGGCCTTGCACCATATTGATTCTGCCTGAGCCATTGGCGCTTGGTTACCAAGAAATCAATCAGATTCGGGTTACCTCTCCTATTGCTGTACGCCCTCTCCTTCTCCTTCTTCATATTTCTGTACACATTAACACATGGGAATATAGCAAATGCGGCCGGGTTGATGAGATCCACTGCCGTCATGTTTGACGCATGATGACGGAGGGTTGGTAACATTGCGGAATCGATGTAGTAGAAAGCACATTGGCTTCTACCGAATCGGTTGTGCAGGGGGTCGTTCTCTGTGACACGACACGGCGTCCCAGTGGAGTACTTCTCAACGATGTCCCGATGATAGCTGTAGTCGGGAGCGTTCCCAAATAAATGAGGACACCAAAAGTTTGCTCTACGGGGCTCCAGGAACACCCGCGGCAACAACTCCATCAGCTGAAGACCAAATTCACGCTGGACACCAATTGGAATGCCATGATACCAGAATACAACTATTGGCGTCAGAAAACCAAGCAAAACTGAGTGCTGGTTGCCGCTGGATCCTCGGCATCAGAATCCATTTCAATCTCCCTTTGTCCCAAGGGAGGTGCCTCTTCAACCTCCTCCTCTTCCTCACTACTCTCCAAGGGAGGGAACCCCGCAGGTGCCGACATACGAGGTGCCTCTTTGACCACCTGAACCACCTTGTCATCACTAGTATCGTCCGCGTCCATGTCACCCCCCTGGTCCATTTCATTCTCCTGCTCCATTTCCTGGGAAACCCCTCCATACGAGATACGTTGTCCTCATTTGGTTCCCTACGCAGAGCCATGGCCACGGGGATGGCAATGGCTCCATTTCTTTGCGACATCCTACTCTCATGTTACTGCCGCACGTTCCTGTGATGGAGCTTGAAGACGCCTAGGAAGTTCCTAAGAAAAAGTGCGAAATCATATAGTAAAAGTATTCATTAATGGATAATATATAAAAATGATCCGTATGACGGATCATCTGACGGATCATTTGAGTACATTTTCACGTACGTGAGTTTGACGGATCATTTACGGATCATTTGCGGATCATCTCTGGCCGTACCATCCTGTAGAGTTAGGTACTAGACGGATTATTTCCCAGATTTCACTTCACCCTATCCACGAGTTTCCAAAATCACCAAAATGACAATCAATCATCATATTTTGCTGGAGCACTTGTTACCCATACAAAGCATGTCATACAATGAGGTCTTTTCCCA